GACACTTCGAGCAAAAATGAAATTGAAATTCAAGAGAGCTATAGCAAAAGAATTTTTCAGCAGTAGATGATACTTCCTGATAATCCTGATCATGACAGAGTGAATTGGATTGAATGATTTGATTCAATGCATTTTATTCAAAGCATTAGACCCAAAAAATATAGAAAATTTGCTTTCTGCACCTCTAATATTATAAAGACCACGCTGACAAGACTCAGTCTTGGTATGGCCCTAATTGAAAAAAATACAAAATCAAATTGTATGCAAAATCATCGTTTCTCAATTTTTTGGAAGAATTTTTATTAATCATTTATACTTTTTAAATCCATTAAGTCACATAAAATATGATTCTTTTAATATTTAAGTAGACAAGCAAATACATTTTTATTTAATTTTTAAGTAATTTTGTTGTAGTTAAAAAAGCTCTTCACTTTCTTTATAACCTGCTCAGCTGTTATGGAATGAGAGGCACATTTAAAATTCCAACGAGCAAAAAATCCTTCGTCGCACCAGGTATATAATTTTATCGATATTGGGCCACGTCGAAGCAGTTTCATGAATAATGAACATGTGCACCGAGACAATATCACCTGATACTCGAACACAGTCAGTCAAGCAAGGATGAGACCTGGCTGCTGAGAGAGCGGCACGCATGACTAGTTTTCGGGGTGGTCAGGTGTCCTGTGACAAAAACCTATACACAGGAAAAGAGTAACGCAACACCCTGAAAAGTTGGTTGGTTAGCTCGGCTCAAAGCCCTCTGCTCTTTCACCACCCGGAATACAACACCTTGGTGCGCGACGAGAGAACAAAAAGCTCCAACAACCTATGCTGCAGTTTTAGGAAAAAACTATAAAATAAAAACCCAGCAGCTTTTGTCTCTTGTAAATAATTAAGCATACGTTTTGCTTGCTCTCTTCTCTCTTTCCGCTGCAAATAACTCGTGTGTGCCGACTTTTTCTGCCCTACTCTTTTCTCTCCTATATTCTACTCTCCCCGCATAGTGTGTGTTATTTTTCCTTCCGCAGGAAAAAGAGCTGAGCCAGCACCCTCGCCGCCGACTGGACTTCTTTATTATCTTTTGCGGCGCTTTTGACAGATGGAATAATACCGGAGGAATAATATAGAAAAGTGTCTTGGCAACAGCAGCTTTGCTCGTCACTCTCAGAGTTGGCATTAATTACCACGCCAAACATAATTAAAATTCGTCACTTGCTCCCCGCGCGAGAGCACCATTAACGCACTTAATTGTTTGATGGCGTATTATTATTCGCGCGGCTCTTGCGGATTCGCGCTCCGCGGTTTATGCGCCAGGCAGTCGACGCCAACCACCGCGATGCAATCATCCCTAATTGGCGTGTTTACACTCGGCGTTATTATTTCACCGCGAGATGGGAGCAACTTCTCGCAAAATCGCTCTATTAATTTAGTGCCACGCGCATAGGATCATAATTGATAACATAATTACAAGGAAGAGAGGGTAACATATGCAGAGAGAATATCTTGGCCAGATTGTTTTGATTGCAACTGACGTGAGAATGATTGAAGTTTCACTAGAAGGAATAATTTAAATATCAGTATAGTTATATTTGTCAAGAAATTGTTTAAAATTAAATCTTAATTATAAAAAGAATTAAAAATGAAGAAATACAAATGTTTATGTTTTGGGTTCTTTTTACGAGAGCATTAAATTTAAAAATATGTCATCAAGCTTCATTTTTACTCCCGATTCGGAAGTCATAAATAGAAGCCCTTCCAAATATTCCCCGCTTTAATGACCAAGGCAGATAAAATCTCCTCATAGGAAAAACAAACACGCGCTTAAAGTCACCACGAAACCAAGCAATTTGGCTCCAATTCCAATAACAAAATTCTCCACTGCCGCCTTCCAAAGCCAAATTCGATAGCGCCACATGAATTAAACATAAATCATACGGCTAGCCCATCAAACGGAGAGTGGAAAAAAAAATAGACCGGTCGCTTCAAGCTACAACTGTCACTCGCCTCTATCTCGGCGGGAGACTTACAAATGAACTGATTAATTTCCGAGATCGCCTGACTCGGGATAATTTCCGTTTGTTTACCCGCACTTCTCCGTGTTCCTCGTAAAAACGATGGGCGACGACACCACTTGCTGGAAAATTGTTTCTAATGACCGTGTATCATATATGAAGGGGCGTTTCTTCCGAGGGGTGTGGCGCACACAATTGTCAAGTGGCGCTTGAAATATTGCAGCTGGAAAGCTACTCATCGCCTCCTCTGCGTATAAATAAACTCTAGACAGACGGCGTTGATTCTCAATTTTACTTCAAATCTCGGTTATGCCATCTCGAAATTCTCACAAATCGCTAATTGATGGAGGTTGACCCATTTGCAGAAGGATATAAAAAAACCAATTTTCCCAGGCGGCCGCGAGTCGTGGAAATTTAAAATCCACGCCGCAAGTGCATTAGCGCAACAATCGGAGCCAGTTTCAAAACCTCAAACAACGTATCGCGTATCAGTAGTGAAAAAGCGTGCAAAAAGAGAAATATAAATTTTTGTGACAAGCCGCCGCCGCATCGGGATTCATAGAAAATGAGCTCTCCGCGTATATGAATTTGTCGGGCGGGGGAGAGAAAAAAATGTTATGTGTCGAGCAAGAGAGAAAACATTTCGATAAAAATATTACATGGCCATTCAGAACATACATTTTTGCTATATGGTGTGGCGTCTCTCTTCCTCTCTCTTTACTTGCACCCATGGAAGTAGCAAAAGTTGCGATGGAGCACAAAGTTGCACGTTTGACTTCATATAAGCAATTTTTTGTCTACAGTTTTGTTCTGCTTTTTCCTCGGGAATGGCGCTTTTATTTGGGCACGCACGCGCATATTTGATGCAAAATAAAAACTGAAAAATTGATACATCGCTCGCGCGGCACCATCATTATGCGGAAGAATCGGCCAAATAAACAACCGCTCCAAACAGGCAATTTCTTCTTCCTTTATATGACGGCGGATCTCTCTCTTTCCCAAAAGAAAAGATGCCCCGAGTGAAATAACACACGCAGCAAGCGGAGAAGATATTATATTGTGTTTTCGGGAGAGAGGATAATTTGCAGAGAAAGCGGGCAATATTTTGCCGATTGCCTCGGCGGGAAGTAATGTGGAAAAAACACACTCGTTCAAACAAGAACGACGAGGCTTTGAATTGCGGCAGTTTTATGACGACGGCCAACTGCTGGCTCAAAATAATTGCTATAAACACTCAAAATTATTTTATCAGGAAAAATAAAAAATAATAATAATATGAGTGAGCAAAAAAGTGACATAAAAAAGAGGAAAATAAATAAACTTGACAAATATTCAATATCAATGTGCAAAATTTTTTTATTCATTTAACTTCAATATGCCTTGTATGTTTACACCGAATGAAAATTCTTTGATTAAACAAAAATAATTTGTAGGATAAAATAACACCATAAATAGCAGGTGAGCTTAAAATTTATAAAAGATAAATAAGTGGGATTTAATTAAAATAATTACTGTAATTAAATTTTATTATTCAGAAACAGATAAAATTTCAAAAACTCATTTTTTATCAAATGTTTTTATCAGATGAATCAGTGCTGGTATGTCTCTATTTTTAGTCTAGACAATTTTTTGCAAACAACAAAAGCTTGCTGTAAAAAAAAACGGAGCTCCACAAATCAATCAGCACTGGTAACAAATTCGAGCCAGGGAAAGAGACATTTGCACAGCAGCGGCATCGCGCCAATTAACAGTCCATAAAACGAGTGGTGCCGCCGCTCATTTGACTTCCATTCATTGCGGTGCCGTTTGGCAGCTAGGAAAGCCAGGCCATTATCTCGGTCGCTCGGCCACGGCACTAAATTAAAAGACGGAGAAGAAGTTCGGAAAAAAGGCGCTCATTACAAATATGGAATGGGCCCGTTGGAGTAGCAGCTCGTCAAGAAGCCTGATGCGTTTGTGAACGACGAGGAAAATAATTTAAAAAAGAAATCTTCTTCGATCGCTAATTAGATCTGTCTGCATACAATAATAACTCTGAATAAAAAAAAATATAATATTGTATGTATTAATGCGAGCAAGTCGGTGGTGCTGCAGCGTTTCGCCGCTAATTACTGCGTTGAGAAAATAAAATATAAATTATTGCCACGCGGGGGAACAATGGGTTCCCACCCCCACCTGGGAGCCGTTCTTATTATCGGAGGCGGCTTTAAGCGTTATGATATGTCGGACATGGCGGAGAACAATCGTGAGAAATTAACTCTTTCCTAAAACAGAGAGAGAACTAGAGAGGATGCTTCGCTATTGTCTCCCTCTCTCTGCGACTAATTTCGGCTGCCGGCGAATTAAGCAGAAATTGCATTACGGTGAGTAAAAAGACACGACCGGCGATAAACGCAGACGCAAGGAAAGTGCACTTCCTGCAGAAAGTAAGAAGTGGCGAAATGATAACAATTGCGGTCAGGGAGCTGTTCAATTTTACAGCTCCCTCGGTTCCCGAAACCGACCCTTCAAGTGTACGGAGGGGAATAAATTACTGCAAACATAGTTTCAATTACTCTCAAAGTTTCACTTTCAACTTGATTAAAAAATTGCACTTGCCAATAAAGTTTTTAAATGAAGTTTCAATCGATTGTTTTGTGCGAATTAAAAAAAAATAATAATAAATCAATATGACTGTTCTACAAAAAGAATATTTCCAAATGAATAGGAAACAACTTGTCAACACTGTAACAAATGTAATGACTTGGCATCATATTTCAGCACTGGTCTTTGAAGAATCTAAATGTTCTCATTTTTCAGTGAAATATTGTAGGAGAGTAATGAGGGTTGAACAGAATTTACAAGTTCCAAGCTGCAAGAAAGTGCAAAACTACGCATTTCACACACGATTCTGCATTCCTCATATTTCATCTCCTGACCCCCCCCCCCCCCCGCAAAAATTAAATATATCGTTTCGTCTCATTTCAACAAAGCACGTGTTTGGCTTACCTGAGATGAGGGCGAATGCGGCCGTCAAAAGGATGCGGACTCGTGTCGACGGCATCATGGTCGTGCCTACAGTCGCATCACGGAACAATCACTGTCAATAATCGGAAATGGGCACACTGGGCTCGCTCGAACTGGGCACGATGGAAGTCACTAAATTGATGCGGCGTCCTATGTGTATATGTGTGTGTGTGTGTCGGGGTGTCGCTGCTGCCACACGCAGTACAAGCACCAAGTGTGTTAGCTCTTCGGCTGCTCGACTCGCACTGCGCCCGTTCGCGCTCCGGGGGCGGAGTCTGCCGCCGCCGCCGCTCCGCCGCCAGGGGCGCTGCCATGGATTTATTAAGAGGGGATACCGCCTGGTTTCAGACCGTCTAGGTACAAGGAAAGATCCCAAGAAATTGATGTTGGACTGAAATACAGATTTTTAAGAGTGGATCCTTGACTTTAAACTATATTATTTAAATTTAACTAAGAATTTGCACATCAAAAAAAAAATATTTCAGCCAAAGCATTTGTAAAAAAAAAGAAAAAAAGGGTAAGCAAACAATTTTTGCAAATAATATATATCTGATCTAATTATGAGTAATCCTCAGAAATTGAAAGTTTCTTGTTTCTTCGTCATCAAAAAATGGCTCGTCACAAAGGAGGAAAAAGCATTGAAAATGTAAGTTCCACCATTTAGTCTTGATAATTCACTTTTAATTTTAATTTTAAAAGAAGTGCTTAATTTTTGGCTGGCATGAAATTATGCTAAAATTTTTTTATTCTTAAAACTAATGAAATTTGTTGTATGCAGTTTTCTACAACAAAAAGAGGGTCGCAATCTCTCAGTAATTCTACATGGGCTCTGTGCTCCTTGCAGCCTCTCTTGTCATCGTCGGACCGGTTCCTCCGAGATGCATCATCTTTTAATTCCATGTATTTTTTTGCTATTTTTTCGAGACTGATTTAATGATGATGATTGTTGTAGCGATTCGCTTCTTAATCAACCTGTCCGGCGCCTTTTCTCAGAAATGCATGCCGGCCGTCAGTACTTTTTGCTTGGACAGCACGAGACCTGCACGCCGCCGGTGTGCAAAGCAATTTGATGATTGATGTTCTTTGGCGTGGACAAAGCCGGTTGACACCTCAATGAAATCTTCTTTTCCAATCCTGGAATATAGTTTGCTACTTATCCTTAAAACACATAACACTGTAAAGTGTAACCCGCTGAACACAATATTAACTTTTATTTAAATAAGTATACCTCTTTAATTTTTGGATTTCTTTTATTATATTGTGTGCTCATTTGGTAGGGTTGCATCAACTTACCTTCCATATAAGAAAACAAAATTTGGTTTAGAAATTTCCTTCCCATAGGGTTGGGCTACTTTTATAATCATGTTTTGCAGATTGCTTTGTCAAAACTCATCAACTCAAATTCCATCCACCTCTGGCTCTATGATCATGATCAATTGATAATATTAACAATAACAAGGTTTTGGAGTTAAACAATATTTTAAATTATTTTAAAAGAAAACAGTCTTTAATAGAAGACTTCAGAAAGTCTTAATATTTAGTTTTATTTCAATCAGATTAATCATATGGTGGAATTCCTCTATGCAAAGTTTTTCTTTCAGAATATTTTTAACAATTGCAAAAAGTCTTAATAAAGAGAACATTATAGATAATCACAAGTCCAAAGCTAAAGGGCAAAGAAAGTTCTTTTTCCTGCTTGCAGTAATAATGGTTTCCCCCAAATGAGCGTTTTACAACCTTCGCAGGTAAATCGCAAAAATTCCCACAATGCGCGACAGGTCATAATTCAAATCGCTTTATCATAATTCCATATTTTGCACATTTTATTTTTTCTCCCTGCCAAGATTGCCTTTTAATGGATATCCTATGACCATCGCACATTTTTATGGTAGTTATTTTTTCATGACATAATTACGTTTAATTGCCAGCTCATAATAGCCCTGACGCGAAAAAGGTGCACTGCCAAGCTTATAAAGGAGATAAATCTGCACGCGATTTACGCCCACAAATATTATAATGTGCTGTGGTGCACACGCAAAGATAATAGCGGATAATAGTGCTTTGAAGAGACATTTGCTTCATTATAGAAGAGAAAAAAGATTCACTTGCGGAGGTTCATTTCAAATTAAGTGGAAAACGCGGTTTGTTATAGAATTTTCTACGCAGAAATTATTTTGATTTGTGAAGATAAATGTGAACTATATGATGTATAATCAATGAATTAACTTTTTGTTTTATTGATAAACTGCATAGCAGCCAATTGGAGTGGCTGAAGAGGCTAATAAAAAAATTATTGGAAAACTATTTTCTATACACTTTTCTCTTTTTGCCTGTTTAGAATGTCACTTTAGAAAAAGATTCTTATTTTCCGTTATTGCTTTTTCTTAAAAAAGATTTAACCATATTGAAATCAAATATTTCATTGCATGGAATAATAATATGCTTTTTTCACTGTTTTGTTTCCTTCTTGACACCATAAATGAACTGTGTACCAAATACACTTGGGCAAACTCAGTCAGTGCCCAGCAAAAAAGATAAAAAAAAAAAAATGCACCTCTCATATAAAGTCAGGAGAAGAACGTCACCATGCAGAAGCACCTCAATTGTATGTGTCTCTTTTTGTCTTCCATCCAGCGTGGCCGGCAAGAAAAATATTATTTTTGGGCAGGGAAAGAAAGGAAGGAAAAGAAAAGTGGCGTTTTTCTCTCCCAAGCTCAAAGGTCCAGACACACACACACACACACACACACACACACACATACTCACACACAACGAGTTATAATAATTTTATTTCAAAAACAAACACTCGCAGCGAGAGGAGCTCATCATCTCTCAACGACGGTCCTGGTCGTGCCCCTGAGGGGGTGGCAGGAAGGGGGTCGCTGGCTCGTGTGACGGTTCGTTGGGCTTTTCAAAGTGGGATAAAAAGGAGACGACAAAGATGAAAAGGTAGCGGTGGCGGCGACGCGCGCGGAGAGACAAAACAACAACGGGAATACATACTCTGTAGATGTGAGTGAGTGTGTCAGAAACATAACTTTTGCGTGCAAGTTAAGAGAAGTGGCACCGAGAACAAAAATCTCGGAGACGAATGCTTAAAGGACACCCCGCGCGCACGCCACGCTCTCCAAAACAATCGATGAATGCTAAGCTGGTGGTCCTTTCTGGGTCACTTTTTTGCACTCACAAGACTTGAGATTGATCGTGTTGATATTTGATGGCACATTTATCTGTGTATATATTGTTCAAGGAGGCAGGCAGGAGGGCCGGTCCTTTTTTGTACCACGAAAAAATGGACAAAAGATGGAGAGATAAATGTAAACAAAAAGGAACAAAAAAACTATATAGGTCTATTGTTTTGATTAGGGGAAAAATTAATGATTGTGTTTTATTTTTCTTTTTCAAGGATTAAAAAAAGAAGCAATCAATGAGATAATTTATTTTATCTTCACCGCTGCAATTCTCTGGCCTACTTATATATTTTAACATTTTTTCTTAAAAATTAAATCACGCTTGTTTATGTCAATTAGAACTCAAAGGAATCTTAACAAGAAGATGCGTCTCTCGCTTCAAGCTCTTTACCGCAATGATAGTCTTTTAGAGTTGAGAGATTGCGAAAGATTAGTAACTTGTTTTGTTCCGCGGCATAAATTTTTATTACTTTTCAAACTGACGCGCCTCAGTATTTTATCCGTGAAAAGGGACGTTCTCGTCAGACCCTGGCGCTGCAGCACTCAAGCTGTGTGATAAAAATTAGCTCTTAGCCGCGGCTTCTCATTCAACTTTTCCAACGTCAAACTTTATCAGACCGCGCCTTTAATTGCATTTTTTTTCCATATTATCTACCTTTTACAACTTTTGCGTTAAGTAATTGTTATCAATTTCAATTAATTTTATGCCATCAGAGTAAAAATACTGACATAGATGGGATATTTAATTAATTTAAGGTATAGGCATGAGTTAATCAAAGGAAAATTAATTTCCTGACGTGCAATGGACTTATTGCTTGAAGCTGTTAACTGTGGAAGCCAAACGCCATTTATTATATGTTTTCATTAATTTGTGTGCAGCTCTTTAACTTTCCAATCTAAATATTTCAACGTTGAAATCTTTTCCATTCATGACCGCGCTGAATATCAGCGTTTCAAAATGAAATACCATTTCTGAGGTTTAATAACAACAAATCTGGATTTCTTCATTATTCAGCTTGGATTACCAGCGGAGCGCCTGGCCGGGCGCACCAAACAAACGCCCGCTCTGATAATATACAATATTTCTGTGGTGAAGCGAAACGGGCGAAAGAGAAAAGCAGAGATTGAGCAATAATAAATGGAACCTTTTCATGTGTATATAAAAAAATGAAAATGATGGCTTATTGATTTCTGCCTGCTTTTTCCCGCGGTCTCCGGCTGATCCAATCATCAGCAGGGAACAAAAGTCAGTTTTTATTTATTCGCAAAAGGGCGGCTGACTTTGTGAAGAATGATTTCTTTCTTCTGCAGAAACTTATCAATTTTATTGCGAGACTCCCGATGTCTGCCAGAGCAGTAAATTATTTTAATTTTCCTGAGGGAGAGAGAAAGAGAGACGCTTATTATAAAACCTCTCACATCCGCCGCGCATACACCGCCAGCAATAAAGCATAAACTTGCTTTAATTCCTGCCGGTTTCCTGTGTTTCGCGGCGAAATAATAAAAACAATAATAATATATTGCATGCTCGTTTTTACACACAAGCTCCAGCCAGCCGGGCTGATTTGCTCTTCAAGGGAAAACTCGCGAGAAAGAAGACGTATGGCGTGCCCGTTGCCAGCCCAGCACTACTCCTTGACAATGAGCGAGTCGCGAATAAGAATTTTATTGTGAATGTGCGCGGTATAAATGTACACCGCAGCAAAATGGAATGTTGAGCAGCCCGTCGGTCGTGCATTGTCTAGGGCGGGGATGCGGGGAGAAGCAGAGTAATATGCACTGCGAGAAATTAATTCATATTTCACTCCAACAGAGAATCTCTTGCTTTTGGATTCTCGTGTTGTATGATTGAAGATAGCAAGATGGGGCAGTGAAAGAATTGACTTTTATTGCTTCATCTTCTATGAACACGTATAAATTTTTAAGGGAGACATAAATATCATAATTTTATGAAGAAATATCTTCAATTATATGTCTTTTCATTTTACCATTTATATTAATATTTTAACGTGGCAAGATAATGCGGTCATTAAAGCACAACAG